CTTCCTTCCTTCCTTCCTTCCTTCCTTCCTTCCTTCCTTCCTTCCTTCTTTATTTGAGTGAAGTATCCTCCATGATCCTCTCCAGGATTCAGTGATAGGAAAATAAGAATCCAAGCTTTGTTGGTTATTCTGCAGTTGCTGCTTGTCTCACTTCACTCTTGATCTATTTTTCACTGTTTGTGCCTTGAGGCCTGGCCACTATGGACTACATCACCAGCTCTCCCTCCTTGGCTGACTTCTGTTTGAGCTCTGCTGGTGGGGGCATCAACATGCTATCAGAGGGAAGGAAAAGAGAGATTGGGGGATCTTCCATTTCCTCTCAGGCCTCACATCTCTGGTAATGGTGTGGCACTTGTTTGCTAGAAGGCCCTACCTCCAAAGTTCAGCCACACTGAGCTGCAGTAACAGTGTTTTCACTAATTTTTCTAGTTCCTAGGAATCTCAATAACTCTTGTTCGTTCCCTTAATCTTGATGAGACCATTTTTAAAGGTCTCCTTGGTTAAAAGCTTTTTATTGAAACCGTCTGAGTGAGATTTGTTTTCCTCCAAGAGTCTGATATACAGTCCATTTGAAAATATACCCAGATTCTGAGAACTCCATTTGTGGAGTGAGTAGACATCATTATGAAGACTTCCCTTTTGGGTTTGATCTGGATCTCTCATACTTGAGTTTCAGTCTCACGTGCTTTTTTGTTCCATCTCCAGTAGAGAGAAATATTGTATTATTACCATTCACTAGGTAACAAAGCTCTATGGACATAGTAAGTTCCTCATGCAGAGAGTTGATGGGAAGGAATCTCTTCCCTATGGCCCTCTTTTGCTCCTTTTTAATCAGAGAAGTTTTCTTTTTCTGGCATTACAGTGACACATTCTCCCAATAAACCTGGGAAATTCACAGTTTCTATTTATCCCAGTAGACATGAGCCTCTTATCCCCCTTGTTGTGTCTGGCAAGTTTGTGGATTAATTGCATACCCTCCATAGAAGCTGAACCATCACATTTAGCTGAGTGCACTAATAAAAGGATTATTATTTAACAGTTCAAACTTCATCAACTTACTTTTATCCTGCCTTCCTGAGTTGGTGAACAAAATTAATGAGGATGCTGTAGCCATGCCTAACAGCTTCTGCTTGCAACCTTCTCAGCAAATTCTTTGCTTTTTTGCGCTTCCCTCTCAACTTGTAAGTTACTTTCATTATCCAAGTTGACGCAAAGATAGATTGTGACAATAGTTTGTGGGTGGCTGTCAGAATTGATAGTGGTTTGTGTGGGAAATGCATAGCTAGTTTAAGAGCTGTGGTTAGGATTCCAGAGAGTCAACTTAAAAAAAAATCTACCTTAGAGGGAAAGGTCAAGCAAAATGTTTTAATTACGATGCAGTTATAATATATCTCATGCTTGGATGACCTGGGCTTGAAAGGTTGGAAAACTATGCAATATACTCAAATCTGAAAAGGGCATGAGTCAGAATCTTTCAGAGAAGGCAATGAGGTAAAGTGGGAGGCATGAAGTGTGTAGTGACTGCTTTGGACAAAGTCATTGACCTCTTTTGACCCAGTATCCTTACCCGTAAAATGATGTGCACTTGGAGACTCCTTTTAGCTCTACTATTAATAATCACCCTATGAGGTATGTATTGGAATTACTAGTAGCCATATTTTATGGAGAAGAAATTGAGACTTAGAGAGATTGAGAACATTGTGCAAGGCCACACAGGTAGGAAGTGGAATAGCCTGCAAAGTTATAGCCTGCCAAAATTGACTTCAAATCTTGGTTTCCTGACCTTGAGAGCTTCTATTTACCTTGAAGGCAGCCAAGAAATTAAATTTTGTACCATTTTTTATGTGAGGACCATCTTTCAGAGATCTTCAAAGAATTGTTGAAGGCCACCCATTTAGTAAATGGTGGGGCTGGGATGTGAAACCATGACTGTCTGGCTTCAACATCCAAGCTATTACAAGATACAGAAACAACTTAAGTGGCCATTAATAGATGAATGAGCAGAGAAGATGTGGTATATACACACAACAGAATACTATTCAGCCATAAAAAGAATAAAGTCTTGCCATTTGTAACAATATGGATGGACCTTGAGGGCTTTATCCTAAGTGAAATAAGTCAGACAGAGAAAAGAAAAATACTGTATGATCTCATTTATATGTGGAACTTAAAAAACAAGACAAAAAGCTAAGTTCGTAGATACAGGGAACAGATTGATGGTTGCCAGAGGTGGGGGGTAGGCATGGGAAAAATGGGTGAAGGGAGTCAAAAGATAAAATCTTCCAGTTATAGATAAGTCATGAGGGAAAAACAAGTCCAAGCTCTTTGTCATTATGCTAGATTTCGTCTTATGATTATAGTCAGCATTGTCTTGAAGACATATAAAGGATAAAGTCAAAAGAGAATTCAGATTTATCCCCAGTAAACTACCTAATTAGGATTATAGGAAGCAGAGTTCAGTGGTCTTAAATTCTGAAATATATCTGGCTAACTAAGGGATAGGTGGGATTCAGGTCTCATTGTAGCACCAGCACAAAGGATAAGTAAAAAGCTCATTTAAAAATTTTTAGCCAGAGTTCTGCCATAGCATGAACATATATGCAAATTCCAAACACCAAGTGTGCACCATATTAGAATTTATTATAATACAAACAAGTCCAAACACAATATATTATCTAATTAAGAAAATATGAACATTTACTATTCTTCTCTGGTAACATTCTATTCCATTCTTTGAACTGGAATAGCCAACATTAGAGTCTTTGATTCACTTCACATAGGCTCATGTTGGACCAGTAGGCTCCAACTGTGCAAAGTAATCTTCCAGTTGCAGAATGTTTGCAAAATGGAAGTTCATACCTTCTCATGGTCTGTCTTTTATGGTTTGTCTTTCATGTTCCTCATTTCTTTCCCCATGAGACAGTTCAGTCCTTGAGCTGTCTGATAAAAAGACACAGCATGTACGTGTGTAGCATCACTGCATGTCCAACCAGGGACACAAATCACACAAGAGAAATGCTAGTTAGCAGTCTTTCACAAAAACCTAATATAAGGCAATTGCTTAAGTGCCGTCAACAGCAGCTCTTTACATGACAGGCTTTAAAATTCAAGGCTGTTTCCAAAACTGGCCTGAAAGAAAAGGTTTAAAAGTTTTTTTTCTTAAAAACCTTATCATTATTGTCCATAATTATTACTATAAATAATAATAATAAATTAAAAGTCCATAGATTATCTGAAACAAATTTTAGGACATATGTATTAACCTAACCCAGTGAGTACTCTTATGCATTTTAACCAGAAGATAACAACTCATTGGAATACCTTCAAGAATCAGACCTCTTTTAAATATTATTTATCAAAATATAAAATATAGCCAGAAGGAAAAAAGATCACAATACAATGTGGTACAACCTCTACTGGTAAGAGAATTAATAAATGAGTGTATGAGGAAAACATTCCAAATGCACACCCAGTTTTTTATTTTTTAAACATCAACAGTTTTTACATGTAATTAAAAATGTGGAGCAGGGAGCATTGAGATTTACACACATATTTTCCATCTTGCATACATTCTTAAAGAGGAATTGCTTAATCTTTAGAGCTATTGCACTGTGACTCATCCACATATAGCTCAAACTAGCATTTTTGAGCCATGTGTTTAAAAAAAATGTATATATATATATATTCAGTGTAGGTAGCCTTTGGTCAATGTTCATTCATAAGGGGGTGTGGTGGAATTGCATCATACACACACTTAATGAACACGACATATTTGGACTACATGTGCTTGGCAAAAAAGAAACTGAAAGAGAAATGCAATTTAAAGGTTGTGGGGGAGTCTGCCCACCATTCCATTTGATGCACATGTGCGCTGGGGAGAGTGTGATATGGGACATACTAACCTGTTTGTCCCTCATACAACTTCCGTGAACCTCTTCTAGTGGGAGCATCTTGCTGCACCAGTGCGATCTTAATGTTCTTGGATACATTAGATTCATACAGTGAAGGGAGGTCTCTAAATGCATGCCAACTTTGTCTTATCCTTGATATAAGAAATCTCTTCTATTGCTGGAGAAGAACTTAGCTGAGTTAGGTTTTATAAGGATTAGAATATGGTCTCCAATACGGTTCCTTCCTCAGGACCTTGCAGAAGTAACTTCGGCTCTGCCAGATTTTTTTCTTTTGCACTGATTTTAGAATCTAATCTTTGGGTAAGATGAGACTCTACTGCAGTCATTTAAAAGGAGTAGGAATTAGAATAATCAGGACTACCATGACCTAAAATTATATTGACTTAGTATTGAGGGCATTGACTAATTGTTTAGGGCTTGTGTTGCACTGGGGCCTTTTCTACCATACTCATTTTATTGCAGATTTCCTTAAAAAGGGTAAACACGTCTTCCAATTTAGGACTAAAAATATAGTAAGAATCCAGCCTGAGGAACCAAGTGTTCCAGGAGGACTGTTTGCTTTTTGTTTGCTCACCAAAAACACCATACAATTCCAAAATCATTTTGGGAGATTTCTTCCAGAACACAGATAATTTCAAATACTGGTAATCTGGAAGAGAAATTAAAAAAAAAATTTTTTTTTCAACGTTTATTTATTTTTGGGACAGAGAGAGACAGAGCATGAACGGGGGAGGGGCAGAGAGAGAGGGAGACACAGAATCGGAAACAGGCTCCAGGCTCTGAGCCATCAGCCCAGAGCCCGACGCGGGGCTCGAACTCACAGACCGCGAGATCGTGACCTGGCTGAAGTCGGATGCTTAACCGACTGCGCCACCCAGGCGCCCCTGGAAGAGAAATTTTTAAAAAGCTAAATAAGTGGAACTCCAGCATGGTTTCCCTTTTAAAATACATTACTGGATACATATAAGCCTAATATAATCAAACATGTGTGGGCATGTGTGTGTACACACATGAGTGGCAAATCCGAGGGAAGCCCCTATTAATTACATCAGAGAGCTCTTCTTGCCTTGGACAGGCAAGGGGAGAACAGCTAAATAAATTCATATTTTATCATTTTGCAAAGGATCTGAATTAAGTAGCTTCACTGAAAACTGGTACCACCCTTTTGAGCCATATGCATCAAAGGGCACACAAGCAGACAACATGGGCACCTTTCCGTGTGAATTTTATCTGCATTTGTGGCTGAATAGTAATACCAGGTAGACTGTGGGGCAGAGCTAAGAATGTCTCCTTTCACACCTGGAGGGCTACAGTTCCTGACCCTTGAAAATTAAGTCCAGTTTGGAAGTCACTTCAGATAAAACAATTTGGTGAGGGCTTCAGCAAGCAAGGAGGCAGGGTTGTCAACTCTACATGTAAAAGGCTTCTCCAGGAAGCTTAAGTGGCACTGCAATAAGAAGCTATTTTGAGTAAAGGGATCATACACAGCTGACACGGGATGGATCGAAACAATGGCAAGAGTGGGCTTATTTTTTTGTTTTTCTGGGCTCAAGAGATCCTCCTTCCCCCCTACGCACCAGGCAGGGGTCTTTGTTTTGGAGGAGATAGATAAAATCTATACATAATGACAAATAGAAAGCCTGCATTTTAGACCCAAATCTGAGGGTCATAGTTATGTTGGTTTGAAGCCTTTCCAAAGAAGCTCTGGCCAGAGTTTGGATGGGATTAATACTTGCTTGTCCCCTTACAGTGTCATTCTGTAGCTTAGGGTTCCAGGGCCACTTCAAGACCACAACCTTCTCTAGGACAAAGGGCACCTTGGAAAAATCCCAAATCCCAATGGTCAGCATTATTAGCTGCTGGGGATGGCACAGGGAAGCGATGGTTGACCTCAGCTCTTAGAGGAAGAGTGTGGACTCAGCTACCTGCTATTGTGGCTTGGTGTGTCACATAAATGAGAGGTTCCCAATGACTGGATGGTGCCAAGGCAAAGTCATAGACTATTTCTTTCCTGTGTCCTCATTGGCCACAGGATGATGACACAACCTCTAAAGACATCTTCAAACTGGTAGAAATTCTGCTGTCAAGTGACGTTGTGAAAATAAATGCACAAATGAAAACAAGATTGATGCTTTTCTTTCTTCTCTTCCATCTTTTCTCATCTACCAGTCTGAGGGTTGCTCAGTCTGTGGAGATAGGAAATCAGGTTAGCACTTTTAAGTGGGCTACCCTCCCATCTGGAAATAGATTAGACAGAGGCACTAGGTGCCAAACCTGTGAGGTCATGGGGATACTTTTATAGGTTTTCCATTTTTGTCATACTGGTACACCAGCATCTTGATACAGTGTGAGTTGGCTGGTGAGATCCAGGGGCTACTTGTTATGGAAAAGTTATGGTTGGTGTAGAACTGTACAGGTTGCTTTTGGCACTTGAAGAAGGCCTTGAGCGTGGCGGCCGCCATAGTGCGGAACCTCTTGCTGATGAAGCAGTAGAGGAAGAAGTTGATGGCTGTGTTCAGAAGGGCCAGCATGTTGGCAATGTCGGACATGATGTGCACCAGCCAGCGGTTTTGGATAGGTGCCCCATAGAGGTGGTAGAGAATCATGACGATGCGGGGGGCCCAGAGTGTGGCAAAGATGGAGGTAATGGTGAACAAGATGGCAGTAGTTTTCCCTGTGGAATAGCCACGGAGACGAAAATTGCTTTTCCTCCTGAGCTTGTACACAATGATTGAGTTCAAGATGAAGAAAATGGAGCAGGGCACCAAGTACACGGTGAAGCAGTGAATCCAGATAAGGACGTGATGCATGGAGGTGCTGATGTAGTCTTCAGTCCAGATGTTGGGCCACCAGTAGTAGGGGATGCTGGTCAGGAAGCAGGTGATGTAAACACTTACAATGACTTTCCGGGTGCGGGCTGGGTAGGAGACCGTGTGGTACTTGAGTGGGTGGCAGACTGCGATATACCGATCAATGGTTAATGGAACAGTAATCCAAATAGAAGTGTGGATGGATGAAAATTCCAGCACTTCTATGATCTTATTGGGCACCTGAGGCATCTGCATGTTCAAGATGAAGTCTTCCAACAGGAAGTCCACAAACACAATGAAAAAGAGGACCAAGATGTCAGCAGCAGCAAGTGCCAAGAGATAGTTGTAGGAGGACTTCTGCCTTCTAGCTACCAGCTGAGAGAGAATGATCACTGTCAGGATATTGGCTGTGGAGAGAAGAGAATCTGGTTTATCTCTGAAGTCAGATGACTTCATTGGCTAATATAGGGCCCTAGGCTTATGTTTATGGGTACTTCCATGGAAGCCAAAGGGACCAAACCAGTGCTTTTGAAAGAGTCTCTACACTACAAATTGTAGCTCATGCAGCCATCTGGATACTATTTTGACAAAATTACATACTCGTAATTTAATATTGTAAGAATAAAAAAACTATTCCTCACAATCATTGGAGGTGGTGTTGCCATTATTCTCACTTCAGAAATGAAACTGGGGCCCAGAGGGCTTAAGGAATTCACTTAAAGTCACACAGTTAGTAAGTGCTGGCGACAGGAACCAAGCCTAGATCCCCTAATCCGAAATCCCATGCTCTTTCTTGTGTCCTCATGCATGCAGGAAAATATGGGGTGTTCCCTGCTTCATGTGTTCAGGTAGGAGACTAACCTCTTAAGAACCTTTTTGGAACCTGGATTTTAGGACCTTTCCTTTTTATGTAGGTTTAGTATTGATGGAGTGGAGAAGATCAGGACCTTCAGATTAATTTAAAGATAAATTGTATTTATTTTTTAGAGTAGGTGCCGATGGTCTCTGATTTATGATGGTTCAACTTACGATTTTCTGCCTTTACTGTGGTGCAAAAGCTATAGGCATTCAGTAGAAATTGTACTTGGGATTTTGAATTTGGATCTTTTCCTGGGTTAGTGATGTGCGGTATGAGACTCTTGTTATGCTGGGCAACAGCAGTAAGTCAGAGCTCCCAGTCAATCACGTGATCATGAGCTCTTACAACTGACACACTTGGGAGAGAGCCAAAACATAAGAGACTGTTAAAAACTGAGAACAAACTGAGGGTTGATCGGGGGTGGGAGGGAGGGGAGGGTGGGTGATGGATATTGAGGAGGGCACCTTTTGGGATGAGCACTGGGTGTTGTATGGAAACCAATTTGACAATAAATTTCATATATTAAAAAAAAAAGATTTAAAAAAAAAACTGACACACTTAACGACCATCTGTACCTGTATAACCATTCTGTTTCTCACTTTCAGTCCAGTATTCAAAAAGCTTTGTGTTAGATGATTTTGCCCAACCATAGGCTAATGTAAATGTTCTAAGAATATTTAAGGTAGGCTAGGCTAAGCTATGATGTTCAGTAGATTAGGTGTATTCCATGCATTTTCAATTTTTATAATGGGTTTATCAGGATGTAACTCCATCGTATCATGGAAGAGCTGTAATCTACAATAGGGTACATAATTAGAAATAATATCAGGGAGAAGTAAATTTCCCTTCTTGTTCTCCAACCACCCAAATACCCCTCCCTCAGGGCAATCACAGTAATAAATAGTCTATCCTTATATATGTCTTTATAATATATATAGTTTTTGAACAAACAGTAGCAATATATTATTTTTCTTGGTGTGTGATTTGTTTTGAAAATGCATGCATATAATTTCTTCTTCTAAAGTTGTTGTTTTTTTTTTTTTAAGTAATTTCTGTACCTAACATGGGGCTTGAATGACTTTGAGATCAAGAGTCACATGCTCTTCCAACTGAGCCAGCCAGGTGCCCCTTGACATGCATGCATATAATTTCTGATCAATTAAAAAAAAAGTCTCTCTGAATAAGACACATCTGGAAAGTTGTTAGGGACTCATTCTAAAATGATATTCCAGTGGATAATATCTATAAGTCATTCTGCACATTGAATCTCATTAATTTTCAGTCGACACTATTAATCCTATTTTGAAAACAGGAGTATCAGAGAATTTATGTCTCTTTTCTGAAGTCTGGTGGTAGAGTTGGCATCTGAATCTCTCTTAATCTCACTTTTTAAAATGTTATACAACAGTTCACTTGTAAAATTAGCTTGTAATATACATATCCTGGTGCACTCTTCACTCAGATTAAATAAATTTTAACATTTTAACATATTTGTTTCAGTTCTTAAAAAAAAAGAACTGACACTGTAGATACAATTGAAGTCCTCTTTGAAATTGTCCCAGGCCCATTCTTTTCCTTCCCTCCTTCTTTCTCTGTCTCTAGAGGCAAACCCCATGCTGTAATCTTCAGGGCCACATTTGCATACCCTTACTTTTCTTTAGATTGGACCATCCATTCTATATGCTTCTGTTTCCACTCAACATTATGTTTTAGAGACCATATTGTTGATACATGCAGCTCTCATTCACTCATTTTAATGACTATATAGGATTCCATTATATAAAATTACTGTAATTTACTTATTCGCATATATGTACAGAGACAAATCTGTACATATATACACATGTCTGTATATATTTCTGTATAACAGGCATGTATAGGCATGTACACACATGTATGTCTACATAATATGTGCATATATACACATATAGACATACGTGTGTGTGTGTGTGTGTGTGTGTGTGTGTGTGCGCGCGTATAAAACAATGTACATTTAGGGGCACCTGGGTGGCTCAGTTGGTTAAGCCTCCGACTTCAGCTCAGGTCATAATCTCACAGTTCTTGAGTTCAAGCCCTGCATCAGGCTCTGTGCTGACAGTCCAGAGCCTGAAGCCTGCTTCAGATTTGGTGTCTCCCTCTCTGTCTCTCTCTTGGACCCACCCCTGCTGACACTCTGTCTCTCTCAAAAATAAACGTTAAAAAAAATTAAAACAAAAAATAAAACAATGTACAGTTAAATTAGTCCCAAGGTTTTGCTATTAAAAACTGCTGTAGTTAACAGCTTGATATTTGAGAGTTTCTCTTGGGTAACATACATGTACAAGTATATTTATTATGTTCTAGAGTAAGTGCATCTTTATCTCTACCATCTATAGCTGAATTGGTCTGTAAAGTGGTTTTACTAACTTACATTCCCAACAGCAGGGTATGAGAGTTCTAGTTTCCTCATATCCTCTCTGTATTTCCTACTGTTAGTTTTTGTTTTTAAGTCTGTGCTATTCTTGCTCTTTTTCAAAGCACTTTGAAATAATATTTTGAAGCAGTGAAGAGTTAAGCATTTATGATATTTATTAGCCAGAATTCAAACCCAGGACCAATGCCCATGCTCTAAACCACTCTGCAATATGAATAATTCCAGGTAGTGGTGGGGGTACCATGCAGGTATATTACAGTGTGTACAAAAGAGAAAAATAATGAGTAAATTCTATTTGAAGTCACTACTTAAGAAAAGAGGTCCTGGGGCGCCTGGGTGGCTCAGTCGGTTAAGCGTCCGACTTCAGGTCATGATCTCACGGTTCGTGGGTTTGAGCCCCACATCAGGCTCTGTGCTGACAGCTCGGAGCCTGGAGCCTGGAGTCTGCTTCGAATTCTGTGTCTCCCTTGCTCTCTGCCCCTCCCCCACTTGCACTCTGTCGGTCTCTCTCAAAAATAAATAAACATAAAAAAGAATTAAAAAAAAGTCCCATTAAAGCAAAGTTTTTTTGTATTTGTAAACACGAAATTTCAAAAGTTTATTTGTGCATTCAACAGTGTTTTTGTGCATTGATTATGAGCTATGCCCTGGGAGGAGATGTTGACCAAAATAGACATGGATGGTCTTGCCTTCATGGAGTTTAGAATCTTTTAGGCAAAAAACCAAAAAGTTAACTGAAGAGCCACAGTAGAAAATATGTAACTGGAAGCTGTAAGTGGTATGAGTGATAAATAAAAGATTTACTGAGGAAATGATGTTCAAGCTGAAATTTGGAGAACCAGGAGGAAGTAAATAGGCAAAAAGGGTGAGAGTAGAAAGTGTGTTTCAGGCAAGGAAAACGGCATATGCAAAGGCCCTGAGATGGCAAAAGCATGAAGAGTTGGGTTTATTAAGGCAAGGAATGCTAATGTTAATTTTCTACTTGCTTTGTATACATTTTTGTTCTCTCTCTCTTTTAAAAATTTTTAATGTTTATTTATTTTTGAGAGAGAGAGAGACAGAGCCTGAGTGGGGAGGGGCAGAAAGAGAGGGAGACACAGAATCTGAAGCAGGCTCCAGGCTCCGAGCCGTCAGCCCAGAGCCAGGTGTGGGGCTTGAACTCACAGACTGCAAAATCATGACCTGAGCTGAAGTCAGAGGCTTAACTGACTGAGCCACCCTGGCGCCCCTTCTCTTTTTTTAATAGAATGCACATTTTATTTTATTTTTATTGTAGAGAGAAAGCAAGTTGGGGAGAGGGGCAGAGGGAGAGAGAGAGAGAGAGAGAGAGAGAGAGAGTCTTAAGAAAGCCACATGCTCACTGTGGAGCCCGACAGGGCTCAATCCCATGACCCTGGGATCATGACCTAAGCTGAAATCAAGAGTCGTATGCTCAACCGACTGAGCCACCCGAGCACCCACACACTCTTGCTGTATTGTGTTGAAAAATGTTCCAAAATGTTTTATTCATTTAGAAATCTTTTCAAAAAGTATTTAGCATCTACCTTCTGTGTGCATGGGCCCATGGTAGAAACAAATTGGTGTTCAGAGTCTCCACTCAGAAAGTATAGAAAAACACACAAGTAACTAAGTATTAAAGAGATAAATGAGAGGGGCGCCTGGGTGGCTCAGTTGGTTAGGTGTCTGACTTCGGCTCAGGTCATGATCTCACGGTTTGTGGGTTCGAGCCACACATCGGGCTCTGTGCTGAATGCTCGCTCAGAGCTTGGAGCCTGCTTCAGAGTCTGTGTCTCCTCTCTCTGCCCCTCCTCTGCTCATGCTCTGTCTCATTCTGTCTCTCAAAAATAAAGATAAATTAAAAAAAAAAAAGATAAATGAGAGAGAACACACAGGTGATTTAAGAGGGATTGGTGAACACACATAGAATGATTTGGGGGAAGGTGTGGGTCAAAAGTCTGGCTACTTTGATCTAATCATATACACTCAGGGCTTCGTAAATTCAAGCTGTAAAATCAGGTCTGATGGTTACGTATCAAAGAGCGTCAGGACTCTGGATTAAGTGTGTGGAGTCTGGGGCTGGGCTGCTGGAGTTTAGTCCTGGCCCTACTGCTTATTGGCTCTTTGCCTTTGGGCAG